TGCCTGCAACCAGCGATTCATAGATAGTTTTAATGAAAGCGGCCAGGCTGGTGAGACTTTTGCAGGTCCCGAATACTGAAGAGCTGAGGAAGGCAGCTGGCTGTAAATGGAGCTGTGGATTTCATCGTTCCCAATAGGGTTAAAACGCATACTCCTGCTGCCTGTATATCTCTCTCTCTACAAATGAGATTACTGAGAATAAACACACTTTAATCCTTTTAAGTGACTGAAAATATAAGTAACATCTGCGATTCCCAGAGGAACGTCAGGATTGGGTTCTCGGAACAAGTAATTAGTTTAATGTGGGACAATAGGCATATTCCTAGTGCTGATGCGTGAATGCCCCGAAGAAACATACAGAGTGTCTGCTGGTGATATTATTACGGTATTCCTAGTGCTGCTTTTGTCTGCCTAGACATTAATATTTAGTGCAGAGAGAGGCTGTGATTGTTTTCCTTCCACAGATGCCCTCAGACTAGTTCTAGGTGTAATTTACTTGAGCCAGCTCTTAGGCAGCGTAGTGAGGGTCCTTCGTTGGCACTTTGAGGTCAAATATTGGATCCAGAATAAGTTTCCCCATTAACGTTTACCATATGCAGATTGAGGAACATTAGCTGCCCGTCTCTGTAGTCTATTTAATCTTTTTTATAAGCTCACAATCTTGCTGGAAAACAATCAGATTTTCACTAGTGTTCTGTATTATATTTTAGTGTTTGTAAATACAAAGCATTCCTTACATAAAGCATTAGATGCTGCATACATCCTCACGTGTACTACCTTTTCTTTCTTTTCTCTTTGCTCTCTCTCCCATCACCGGGAGGCTGTTCATAAGCCTGTTCTTATTGTTATAGAGAGGGACTGGTAAACTGCCCTCAAAACAAATGCTAAACCACTACTTGCCTGGTTGTTAGCAGCTGGTAATGTATTTAAAGGTTGATTGGCCTCCCCTCACCTCTTCTGCCTTATCCTAACTCCTTTTAGAAAGAAACAATTAGCTCTGCCCTGTAGCCAGGGTTAACTGGATCCCAGGGACAGAACAAAGTAGCTGTGGCTTCAGTTTTTTGCCATCACAAAGAAGTGTGCTAAACCTTGCCCAGCGGCCCTCCGCTTCCTCAAGGGTACTTCATTGTATGCTGTTTTCTTCTGACTTTATTAATCTGGTACTATAGAACTTCGTCAAAATAAAAGACTTTGGGAGTTATGTTTCCCAATGTTTTGTGTGGCGGATGCCCCTGTAATGTTTTTTATCGGTCTGTTTTGCAGACTGAGTGGCATTTGGCATGAGACAGTATGGGATATCGGCTGTACATATGTACATCTTTGTGTGTGCACCTGATGTTGCTTCTTCTGCTGCTTGTGTGCTTGGATTTGCTGTTCTTTGTAGGTATTTTTTGTAGTTCCAGTCTGGCCCATCTCAGAGGACGGTCGAGTTGCAGAGTCCCGCAGGCTTGTGTTTTAGCAGGCGTAGCTTTGCAGAACATAAAAGGACGATGTTGTTGCACCCAGCTGCTGCTCTTGCTGTCGGTTTGCCAGTTCCAGGATGACTTCCTTGGCCTCCTGTTTTTTCTGCAGCCCCCAACCCGGTTTGCTTATTTGTATCTGTAAAGAACATGAGAGAGAGCTGTTCTTACGTACGCTGGTGCGCAGGGGGCTGTTGTTCTGTTTGACCCTTTGCACTGCTTCCCAAGGAGGGATGCTCTGGGTGTTTTCATTCCCACCCTTTGTATAACAGATCGTAACTGCAATCCTCTGTGGTCATTTAAAAAAAAAAAAAAATCCACTATCTCCTGGGGCTAGCGTGGCCATGGGGCACCACTTTTTATAAACACTGACGTGGCTGAATGATGTGCCATGTATTGCTCCCAGCTATCCTCCATTTTCTAGCCCAAGTCAGCAGGTACCGCTTGCAGCTGGGAGAGTAAAGGGAAGCTTTGGGGCTGGGCTAGAATAAATTTAACCGGGTTTCAGCCCAGGCCTCAAGGCTCCCTTCAGCTGCCACTAAACCTGTAGCAAGATACCGTACACACTCTGCTGCAGCACACGTTTCTATTAAAAAATAGGTGGGGACACCTTCTCTTAGCCAACCTGAAGAAGAGACCCAGTGTCTGTGATGTGGCCGAACACTGTTAGAGCAACTGAGGACACTAAAGGGGACATTGCAACATGCACAGCTAGACTAGTCTATTGCTCAGATGACTTCTGTAGGCAAGGATGTCTTGAAAACCTGAGATCTGCAAGACTTTTTAAGCTTAAGTACTTAATAATAGTTTAATGACTGAGAGGTTTTTTGTGACGACTAAGTCAGAGACTATATATATGAGTTCTTGTGGCATCGTTTTAAATCAGGGCTTGCCAGTAACAAAGTCTTGCCAGCCTTCCATCTCAAAGGGAGAAAGTTTTCATCTCGCTGAGTTACTATAACCTGTAATGTACCAACCCCTAAGAAGACTGTTCTTGTTTCCTACCATAAGACAGCTGGAAATTTTAAATTTCTGTAATGAACAACTTTTCTGAGTCATCTCTAAGGTTGTTGAAATCACTGGGGGATGTCTGCTGAGTGCATACTTTAGAGGGCAGTTTGAAGTTTTAAGAATTGAACAGAGTAAGACACTTCAAATATGTCAATATCCAGGCAGAAAATGCAAGGCATACCTCCTGCGCTAATCCTCGTCAAGGATGGGGATTTCAACAAGTCATCTCCGAAAGGCCAAATCTTAGCATCTCAGGATCTCTAATCCCTTCCCATTGACTACAACATTTCTTTCAGAATAGTTGTCCTCTGCTGCAAAAGCTTTTATTTCTTGGGCATTAGCAGCATTTCCTTCTCTGGATATTATCCTGATCTAGTCGTTGGAGTATCTTCTGACTGGTCTCTATTCAAACATACCATCTTGCCTTGCAGTGATTGCATTCAACGTTTGGCAGCCTCTGGAATGACGCAGTGATCATCACATCCACTGCTACTTCTCCAGGCCTGCCTGGATCCCTCAGATCATTTCGTTCAGGCCACTGGGCCACCTCTCTCAGGCAGCTTAAGCAGAACATTGCTGAAGCACAACATAATCTCCCTCATCACCTCTGATGACACTACGTGTCTTTTACCTCCCTACTGTGGGATTCATTTTAAGGAATGAGTAGGGAGAAGAAGAAATTGATTTGTGAAGGTCTTTAAGAGCAAGAAGCAGTGGGAAACAGAAATCTAGAGAAAGGATGTAAATGAGGAATGGTAAGACTGGAGCAACGTGATGGTGTTGGTCTTAACTGATGTATCTTTTTAGTGGACTGGATGAAAAGGATTGTGGCAAGGGGGGAAGCATGATACTTTTGTTAGACAGGCTATCACAGAAGTTAGGATGGCAAATTACGAAAGTCCTGGAGAAGGGCTAACGGGACAGAAAAAGAGGACGAATCCTCATGACGTAGCTAAAACAGATGCAGAAAGGTGTAAGCATGGTCTGGATTTCGTAAGAATAGGAAAAGAAAGGGGTAATGACCTTTGTACCATGCTGTGTCACCTTATCTGGGACTGTGCATGATCCTTGAATTAGTGGGAACTCTTCTCTGTCACACAGAAGCAGTTTTAGCTTTAGGATCATAATGTAGCATCTAGGAGGGGCCTTCAGATCACGTCTGTTTGTCCTAGAAGTGCTGCGTAGGAAGGGTTACTTTTGTTTAATCCATTCTGTTTCTACACTTGTACCAATGACACTTTGATGTTGGGTAATGGCACTCTCTGTGGAACTGTATGCGACCTTTTAGGAGAACAGTACTGTCTTGCATGAGCTGATTGTAGTCAGATAGCTGCTAAATGGTACTGCCAAAAAGGGATACAGCTCTGCCTCTTACCTTCCAGCTTTTAGGATGGGGAGAATAAATGGCTGCTAGCTCTACCTCTTGCCAGTCCTTTATAACTAATGACATGCTGTCTGTTATCATTCTGAGGGATTTTGTAAACTTTTCCCCAAAGTCTTAGAAAAACGTGGCAAACTGAGTGGGCTAAATGCATATTACTGCCATGCCCATAGGAGAGGAATAAGAGTTTAGCAGAGTGCATGGAGCAACATCAGCGTAAGAATAGGAGAAAAGCTAAAATAATCATTTATCTCAGTGTGAAAGAACCTGGGGAGGTTCTCGCACAGGACCATAGCTTCATGCAGCATGAGTCTAAGCCGTCTCAAATTGGAGTGTCAGTAGAAGTAGGTTTAGAATAAATCAATAAAATGAATAGTAACAAATCACCGGGATCAGATGTTACTCCCCAAAGACTTCTAAAGGAACTCAGATATGAAATTGCTGAACTGCTAACAGTGGTGTGTAATCTATCATATAAATCAGCTTCAGTGGCAGAGGAAGGCGGAAAATGTGATGCCAATTAAAAGAAATGGTTCTATTTGGGGAACATCTAAGCAGTAAGGTTGTCATTTTACCAATACATTATTCCAGCATAAACTGGCACTGTAGTCAAAAGAAGCAGCTCAGCCTTCCCCAACCACTCGTTCCTGCTGCTGCACTGGTCCCTCTGTGCCTCTACAGCTTGTTGTGTGATTCTGTAGTGGACCCGAGTAGGCAGCTGGTCCTGTTTGATACTAACCAAGGAAATACTGAATTATTAGTTTTAAGACGGATCAGTTTCCTGATCCACTTAATCTGTCAGTGGCACAAAGTTTGTCCCTGGCACAGAGAGAGGGTGATAGGGAGTGGGAGATGCACAGGTGAGGACCGCAGGAGAGAAGGACTGGTGCCTTTAACAGCTGAACTTGCCTGCAGGAGTTTGACGAGATGCAACACTGCAGCATAAAGTTATGACCTTGTGCTGGGAAATTGGGTGGTAGTACAGTAAAAGTAGAAAGAAGAAATGCATGCAGAAATATTGTACTGAGGGAAGGGAAATGTGTTTTTTGCAGAGATAAGTCAGATCTTGTGTATCCTGTAGAGCTGTTAAAGATTTGAAGGAGTATGAGGTTATATATGGTCTTGTCTGCCTATATTTGTATTTCCAGAATGCTTTTGATAAAGTCCCTTGCCAAAAATCCTTAAAGAAAATTAAAGATCCTTTTGATAAGGAAGAAGATGCTTTTCAGGACTGATGATGACTTAAAAGAGAGAAAATGAAAGGTAAGAGTAAATTGTCAGTGTTTAAAATGGAGAGAATTCACCAGTGAAGACCGAGGTGCTGCTGAGTGTGGGATGAAAACGGAGGTAACAGCATGTGCTGATAATATTAAATGGTTGAGGGTCTCATGATAAATGAAGCCATGGTTTCACGTTTGGTGGCCATGCAAGATTATGTTCTTGTACACCCTATTATCCCCACCCCTGAGTGCCTGTTTGAGCTGTCATGTTGTCCTGTTGTCATACTGACAAACTTTGTTTAGGTGTCTCTGCAAGGTGAGTTAGATCAGGAAGCTGATCCAACTCAGAAATACCCTCATGAAAGTAGTAAGAATGGGGCAATGTAGGATTGGGAAAATAAGTTGGGAGTGGGCCCCCTCAAACTAGCCCTGTGTCTGAAGAAAGATGAAAGGAATAAAAATCTGCGTGACTGCGTGATAAAATTGCAGATGAGATCCAAGTTTGAAAAATGCAAAGTAATGCATTTTCTAACATGGAGAAAAGGAAATCCTTATTGTACATATTCAGTAGAGGTGCTGAATTGGCTAGTACCATGCAGAAAATAGGTCTTTGGAGATAGCGTGGATAGTTCTTGGACATTTTTGATCAGCATTGATCAAAAAGGCAAACAGTATTTGGGACAATTAGGAAAGAAGACAAGAACCATAGTTATACCATTGCATAACTGTGTAATATGGTATCTATAATATGGTTCCTTCTTCCTCAGCTCAGAAAGTTTGTAAATGAACTAAAAAAAGCTTGAAAAGGGCAGCAAGGATGATGAGGAGTATAGATTAAATACATGTAAGAATAAATAGTATAGGTCTGGCCATAGAAAGTTTCTGTAAAGGAGGCATATGGTGATCTATGAGACTATGAATTAACGTGGGAAAGGTGAGTATGGAAAGATTATTCATTGTTTCTCATAATGTGGGAAGTGTTTTGTAACAGTGAAATTATTGGGTTTATAGCTAATAAAGAGAAGTTCTTTTCTGATATGATGCATAGCTAAACTGTGAAATTCATTGTTGTGAGGACTTTGTGGAAGCCAAAGATTGGAAGGGTTTAAAAACAAATTAGGCAAAATCCTGGCAAAAACTCCATCGCTGCAGTGATGTCGATACAACTTCCCATTTGGAAAGTCTACACTGCCAGTTGCTGGAAGCTGGGAGGGTGTATCAGAAAGATAACTCTGTATTTGTCTTTTTCTTAGGTTTTTTTCTTCCCCTGGGCATCCTCTGTTGGCCCCTGTCAAAGACCTGGTTCTATTTTATGGGGATCTTTTGTCTGACCCAGTGTACTGCATGCAGCACATTGCAGTTTGGAAGCAATTAATCAGAATCTAAAGTTATAATAAGATACTAGTTCCTTCAGGCAGGACAACTGAGCAAGTTCTCAGTTCAGTTGGCAGCAGAGTGTGAACAGTTTTCTGCTGAATGGCTTTGCAAACGGTGTGGTGGGACCTGGAGCTGGGACAAGAGAGGCAGGGGGCTTGGGGGTGGCATGAGGTTGGGGAC